CAAGAAGGTGGTGAAAGAGAAGCTGACTTCAGCCTTGTGAAAAAAGTCAAATGTTAAGAGACATTTTACAAGAAACTATTCTACTTTTGTGGAAAAGTTTCCTGCCGGAGATGCGAGAAAAGCGGCTGTAGCTGAGCTAAAGCTTAAAGCAGAGCAAAGTAAGTCTGTGTTTTAGTTTATATTACATTTTTAGTCTATACTAGCACATTAGCACATACTGAGACATATTTACAGCCAAGATGGTGAAACGTTACTTCAATAAAATAGATATGAAATGTTGTGGCTCCTAAGGTGGTTTGATTTTGGTTGAAACTTGACAAAACAGCTCTTCTTAACATTCTGGTTGCCGACCACTGGATTAGATGAAGTTACTGGACTAGATGAAGTAAATTTCTCGTTAAACCTTCAATGATCTAGCAGTTTGTAACATCCTGTCTTGCCCTGCTTTCCTTGTTTCTGTTGTTGTTTTGGTCTTTGTCTCCTCACCATTTCTGCCTTCTTATCATTTGTTTCACCTGTCTGTTATCTGTCCGTTCCACCTTAAATAGTGCAAAAGTTAGATGCTAGCACTCTTACAGGCATCTGCAGGTAAATGGAGATGAAGAGACAGGATGCAAGCACAAGTCCTTGTTTTTGTTGAATATATGTCATAATGAAATAATCCACAAAGTAACAAAACAATGAGAACACTGACCAACAAAATACTACAACAGAAAGGAAACAGGACTAAAGAACATGAAGAGGACTAAAAACAAACAGGAGAGAACGAGAACAAGGCCTGAGAACACAAAACATCAAGCAAACACAAAGCACACAACCAGGGGTATAATGAGAGAGAGAGAGAGAGAGAGAGAGAGAGAGAGAGAGAGAAACATTGGACCACTGAAAAACAAAAAAGGTTCTACTGTTTAAACATCAGAGAGAAAAATATTTCTGAATGAAATAAAACTAAACCTGATAACAGAGAGTAAAGAACCTCATCAGAGGAAACTGAAGACTAAATGGATGTTCTAGCTAACCAAGTCTGGAACAGGAGCACCACAACAAATGACTAAAAGACAGTCAAACAGAAACAACGTCAGGAGTGTCACGTATCCAGACTGCAGTAGAACATTAGCTGAGCAGAGTGAAGGTTAATGGACCAGAATTCTGAACACTGTCTCTCTCTACATCAGCACAGAGAGAGAGACGAGAGGACTCCTACATTAAAAAACACAGAGAGCTGAGTTTACATGGAGGCAGAAAACTCTGATATTAACCCACTCATATCCACACCTGCAATATTACATTTATCTGATCACAAAGAAATGTTTCAAATTCATCAAACCGTATGATTAAAAGTGAGTTACTATCATTTACTTTATCAGTAAATTCATGCTTTTGGTCAGATGGGCCCAAACCCGATCTTATATGTGTAATTACAACTTTGCCTGTAGTGTAAAGATGTATGTTTCCATCTATGGCTTAACTTTCAAAATTACTACTTATTTTGTCATTTATTTCTACCTGTTTTGACCCCTCAAATATCCAGAAGCCATCCTCATTTCTGTAACATAACAATAACAGCCAGTTTACATTGAATAATAACCTTCAGGATGTACTGAGCCTGGGTATTAAAAACAGTTCATAAATTCCATCAGTTTTTCCAAATTTCTGCTTAATTAACCTGTCAAGATGTAAAAACAGTCATACAGAGTGGTTTGCTGTGAAATGTTCCGTTCTAGAGAAACTTTCCGAGTCAGATTTGTTCACAGTGGTGATAGGAACCAGACGTCCACATCTAAAAGCTCCCTCACAGAAAATTATTACAAGAAATCATACAATTAGTAAAATAGTACCCAAAGAAAATGTATTTTGTCCACATTTACCATACTGTACCATTATCAATATTACAAAGCATTACAAAATTACAAAAATTAAATTACAAAAAATAAAACAGTTATATTTGTGTTGTATATGGCTAGTTCCTATCACCACCACTTTAAAGAAATCTCTACCTTCAAACATTTCACGTTAAACCAATCTGACTTCGTTTGCATCTCAAACACTGAATTGTGCAGAAATTTTTAAAAATCGGTGGAGTTCCCCTTTACGTTCATTCTCCCTAAACAGCGCAGTTACATAAACCTGCCAGTAGGGGTCGCGGAAATACGAGAAACGCGTTTGGTGTTACTGTCGAGGTGTTTTGTCCCTCAGCGGAGCCCGTAGCGAGAGCGACCGCGAACATGGTGAGTGAAGCAGCAGATTTAGAAAAACAAGAAGTATATTTAAAAATAGATATCAGAATTACATATATTACACTTTATTTACGAAGTATTAACTCGGTATAGTTAGCAAAAGCTTAATTTCCTAAGTAACCAGCGCTATCAGCTGTTTCACTGATTTATAGTAGCTTCTTGTTCGAATGTAGCCGTTCCACCTTAAATGATGCAGCAGTTACATGTAGCTACTACGCCATTTAAGGTGGAACGGGAACATTTGAACAAGAAGCTGGCGAACAGGAAGCCAATTTCAGACTAGCCTTACAGAAAATGTATTTATTTACATGTTCGATCCAGATTATTTCACTCTCCTTACTAAATTGCATTGATTTTATGCTTTTTGAAACTGAATGCCGGTAAAACTGATGTTTTGCTAGCTAGTTTCCCCCTAGCCTGTGGTGTCTTAAGATATCAAGTTTGGTCCTTGATACTGATGAAGTCTTTTAAGTGTTTTATTATTTATTGCTCATTACTCGTGTCTTATACAAGATACTTTTCAATACTTTTAAAGGGAACTTCAACGATGTTTCAGCATTTCTACATAATTAAATGGTTGTGATGTAAACAGAGTCATTCAGAGTGGTTTGGTGTGAAGTGCTCCGTTCTAGAGAAACTTACCCGGTCAGAATTGTTCACAGTGGTGGTGATAGGAACCAGACAGACACTTTTAAAAGCTCCCTCACGGAAAGAACATTAAATGGTTAGAAATGTGCTGTCTGACCCATTGTTTAGTGATAATGTTGGCTTAAAATGTGGTTTAATCTCTTTTTTAATTAGGCAAAATAGTCCCCAAAGAAAACGTATTATTTCAGATTTTTCACTGTTTTCCCATCATCAACATTCCATATAAAGCTCAGAAGATTCGTCTATGTTCACTGGTGGTTTTGGATAGTAAATATAATGTCTATATTTGTGTTGTAGTCATGGCGACCCCTGGTTCCTATCAATACCACTGTAAAGACATCGGAACCATTTCACACCAAACCACTCCGTTTGCATCTCTAACACTGAATTATGCAGACATTTTGAAAAATTGTAGGAATTCTCCTCTATGGCCCTGCATAAACTCACGACTTCCGGCACTGGGCTGTTGGTTGTTCCCCAAACTAGATGGTCTTCTTGGGCTTGCAGGTCCTTTATTTGCTTCTTTAAAAAGATGGTTCTTTAAGGGTTGTTTAGTAAAGACAGCGGTTCTATACTGAACCATGAACACTCAAGGGGTTGCATCATGAAATGGTGCTTCAGATTGATGGAGAATGTGTTGTATATGGTTATTGTATGGCATCATAACTTACTTGTACAGTTTCTACATGACAATTTCCAACCTGGGCGGCACGGTGGCGCAGTGGGTAGCGCTGTCGCCTCACAGCAAGAATGGCCTGGGTTCGATTCCCGGCCGGGCGACCAGGGTCCTTTCTGTGTGGAGTTTGCATGTTCTCCCCGTGTCTGTGCGGGTTTCCTCCGGGTACTCCGGTTTCCTCCCACAGTCCAAAAACATGCAGTCAGGCTGATTGGACATGCTAAAATTGCCCCTAGGTGTGAGTGTGTGTGTGTGTGATTGTGTATGTCTGTCTGCCCTGCGATGGACTGGCGACCTGTCCAGGGTGTATCCTGCCTTCCGCCCAATGACAGCTGGGATAGGCTCCAGCACCCTACCGCGACCCAGAAGGATAAACGGTTTAGATGATGTATGTATGTATGTATGTATGTATGTAATTTCCAACCTAGAATTAAACAAACTGTTTCTTTTATTGTTGTTTTAAGGCTTTAATTCCTCGTTAAAAGAGCTGAAACCTTTAATTCTGCAGAAGCTTTAAGCTGGGATTAAAACCACGTGGTCTATTTCTATACACTCAAACCTTGTTATGGCTTGTTCTGTGATGCTAAATGAGTAGTGAAGTTCTGTTGGCTCAACTTTGATCACCTTGAAACCCTCAGTGAGTCATTTCATGTGTCTTGCTGTCAGTTGTATCTCTGTATGTTTACTAGGGATGCACAAAGATATTGGAATTGTATCCGTATCGGCATCAGGCCCGTTTAAATATCATCAATATTTTAAACATTTTAAATATTTGAAAGAGAAAAAAGGCAGAAAATTATAGCCGAAAAAACAAAGAATTAAATAGATGTACAACAAAGTGTCAAAATTAAACACTTAACAAATCATTTGGTAATGAAAATGAGAAGTAGTGATTAAAATGCTTCGCTCTGTTCCTTTCAGGTTTGTGCCTGGAATTTATTTTAGTGCATCACTATTTTTAACCCTTTACAAATAACTGTTCTCTGTAATGCGTATTCAGATGGATCTAGGTTTGAGGTGGTTGATATGGCAAAAATATAATATCATGATACTTCAAGAAATGTTCACAATACATGTTACTATATTTTTTCAAACATCTGATCAGTTGAAATGGAGAAAAAGAGAACCAGCAGTGCTACATATTTAATACTATCAAAAACTGTGAATATAATGACTTTTATTCAATATTTGGCACTAAATCTAATTAAACAGGAAAAAATTTGCTCAATTTATAATGAAATATGCAGTTTGTCAGTGTTCTACTGACAATATCCATAATATGTTCAGAAAAGCACATTGTATTGTGACATAATTTATCATGATGATAATATATTGTCATATATTGCCCAGCCCTAATCTGGTTCCATTTTCACATTTGATAAGTATCAGTATTGGTGGATATGTATATAAAAAAATATCAGTCATTAGCATCAGCCCACAATTCCCATATCGGAGCATCTTTAACGTTTTTTTTTGCTTGATTACAGGGACAGAATCAGAGTGGAGGACACGGCCCTGGGGGCGGCAAGAAAGATGACAAGGTAAAAAGATCCAGGCTGACTTTGAGTATTTTCCACGCTGGTGATACAGGATTAATCCCTAACACAGTCATGTGAAATGTTATGATGATATAGCGCACAATTAAAGTTTTCATTTCATGTGTATAAATGTGCCTTTCCCCTCTCACAAAGTGTTGCAAAATGGCCTTCTTTTTTATCTAAAAAAGGATAAGAAGAAAAAATACGAGCCCCCAATTCCTACCAGAGTTGGCAAGAGGAAGAGAAAGACCAAAGGACCTGATGCTGCAAGCAAGCTGCCTTTAGGTATTCTGCTCCTTTCCATCTGAGCTTTACGTCACAATATGCTTTTCTTCAGCACTTACAGAGCGCTTAATGGATAGAATAGCTGCGTGGATCATAAAAAGATGCATTGAGGCTTTTTTTCACACCTGGTTAGTTTGTTAAAGTCCATATCTGCTTCTTTATGAATATGTTTGTTAATTTGAATTTAACCAATCAGGTTGCTAATGCAATACATTCTGTGATCCATGAGCCAAAATTTAAAGGCATTGCTATGATATGAATTTATTGTGATGATATTACAGGAATGATATAAGCGTCTGTAAAGAATCAGATTGTGCAGACAGTACAGCTGATGTTCTGCTAGAAGTGGGGAAGCATGATCTGTTGTTGAATTCCCTCGTTTTGTGCGGACCACCACAAAAATGTGTCCCAATTGTTGGACCACAGTTCATTTGTTTGGTGCGGAGTACAGGTGCAGTGTTCACATTTAGAAAAACTTTGATAGGACCGCACCAAGCCAGGTAGATGTGAAAGCCCGATTAGTTTGTTTGTTAAGTCTGAACGAGCGTTTGGTGGTTTCTTTTTAATTTGGTTCAGTTGGTTTCACACTGCAGGGGCTAAGGTTCATCAAATTACACACACGTTCTTAGATTGGCCAGGAATTTGGCAGGGATGCCGATGCTCAGTTACATTTGCCTCCATTATAGTGTCAAAAAACCTGCTTAACTCTAACCCTCTCTTACTATAATTTTATAACAGCAGCTCATGCTTGAAGTATCATAAAAGCATCGATAATGAGTCAGACGTTAAAACAGGCAGATTATACAGACAGTGCAGCCCTGATGAGCTGCTGGAGGTAGAAAAAAGTGTGCCCTGATATTGGATTCCCTTGTTTGGGATGGTATCACAATGTCTCCCACTCTTAGTTTGGGGGTCAGTGGTTTGTACTGACTGAGCTGCTATGTGTTTCTCTGCACTACAGTGACTCCTCACACTCAGTGCCGACTGAAGCTGCTCAAACAGGAGCGCATTAAAGATTACCTGCTGATGGAGGAGGAGTTCATCAGGAACCAGGAGCAGATGAAACCACTGGAGGAGAAACAGGAGGTACATGTGCCATCTCTCTTCTTTATTTCTCTTTTCTCTCTGTTTCTCTCCCTTTCTCTCTCCCTCTTAAATATATATATATATATATATATATATATATATATATATATATATTTAATGTACATATTATATATATGTATATATATATAGATAGATAGATAGATATAGATATAGATAGACATATAATGTGTGTGTGTTTGTATGTATATATGTATATTTAAATAGTGTGTGTGTGTGTCTCTCTCTCTCTCTCTCTCTCTCACTTGCTCTCTCTTCCTCCATTCTCAGAGTTCACCTCTAGCATGTTCTTTTTTTGTTCTCCTGTAGGAGGAGAGGTCGAAGGTTGATGACCTGAGGGGGACGCCGATGTCTGTAGGAACTCTGGAAGAGATTATTGATGATAATCACGCCATCGTGTCCACTTCTGTGGGGTCAGAGCATTACGTCAGTATCCTGTCCTTCGTGGATAAAGACCTGCTGGAGCCCGGCTGCTCCGTTCTGCTCAACCACAAGGTAAAGTTCAGGAGAGACTGAAACTGCAATACACATCATGACAGTTTTACACACAACAAAGTTCTAAAATTACAACTCTTGTTCAGTTCTACACAGCTTAAGACCAATAAGTGGTGGTGATGGGAACCAGGGGTCGCCATGTCTGTAACAAAAATATAGACATTTTATTTACTATCCAAAATGGAATATATATTTATATGGAATGTTGATGATGGGAAAATAGTGGAAAATCTGAAATAAAAAGTTTTCTTTGGGGACTATTTTGCCTCACAGCACCCTGCGTATTATGTATATGTGGATTTTAAGGCCAAAGTCTTCTCAAAACTATCGATAAACAATGTCTCAGACATCAGGCAGTGAATTCATTACCATTTCATGTAATAACTTACTGTGAGGGAGCTTTTAAAGGTGGACGTCTGGTTCCTATCACCACCACTGTGAACAATTCTGACTCGATACTCCCCTTTAACTTCATTTACAGTAGGGATTTTGTAAACTTTTTTTAGTGCAGTTTTCAATAGTTGGTGCACATCAGGTTATTAACATTCATTACAGTCTTTACACCAAATATGTCAACACTGCTTGACTGGTGTATGATCTGTTTTGGTTTGTGGGTTTGCAGGTCCATGCAGTCATTGGAGTGCTAATGGACGACACTGACCCTCTGGTAACAGTGATGAAGGTGGAAAAAGCTCCTCAGGAGACATATGCTGATATCGGAGGACTGGACAGTCAGATCCAGGAGATTAAGGCAAGAAACTTCATCACTTAGTGAGGAATTCCTGTAGATAAAACATGTTCTGTATTGTTCTTCATGTAGATAGTAAAACAGATCTTTGATGAAGTTGCTTAAAGCAATAGTTTGATTAAAAATCGAATTTACTAACTTTTCCAGCCTTACCCTAAACGTACGCCAGTCAGTGAAGTCATGTTTGGTGTCTGAAGTTTGCTTCTTTAGTTTTAGCACTGGACTAATGAAAGCTTATACCTTACCAGTTAGCGTGGTGCTAACTGCATGCCTAATTCCTCACTTTCTCAAACCGTGTGGAGTTCTTCAGTAAGCTCTAATAATTCTCTAATTCTGATACTGTATGACACCCTGATGTCTATGGATTAAAGTCCAGACAAAAATCAGACTCCAAAGTGGCTGCTGCTGTTTTTAACTTTTGTCTATTTTTATAGATAATGATATCTGTGACCTGCTGCTTTAACAAAAAGACTTTAATCTTCACATGTAATATTAACTCTTCCTCTATAATGACCTATAGGAGTCAGTGGAGCTTCCTCTCACTCACCCAGAGTATTATGAGGAGATGGGGATCAAACCTCCTAAAGGAGTCATTCTGTACGGCCCACCAGGAACAGGTCAGTCATAGGCCTCTTTTCCACTGCGAGCCAAATGGCATTTAAAGGCTGCACGGATACAGAGTGAAAAGTGTGTTTAACAATGTTTACTACAACAAAGTCTTTTAATTCAAGAAACTGAGACGAATGTGTTTTTTCATTATATGGACTCTTTAAGTTTGCACCAACCATGTGAAAAGGATTATTTCTATTAGTAGTGTCATAAATATATTCACAACTTTGCTTTTTGACTCCAGGTAAGACCCTCCTGGCTAAAGCAGTGGCCAATCAGACGTCGGCAACGTTCCTGCGGGTTGTAGGTTCAGAGCTGATCCAGAAGTACCTGGGCGATGGACCCAAACTGGTGCGGGAGCTTTTTAGAGTGGCTGAAGAACACGCACCTTCCATCGTCTTCATCGATGAGATCGACGCCATCGGAACAAAGAGGTACACAGTCCAGACCTTAGTTAAAACTAATCAACTCTTACTTGCTGCCATTCTTTATATTTCCACAGATAAATGCTTTAGGATTAGAATCATTTCCCACTGTTTAAACCAAGCAACCCAAAACAAAAAGTTCTTGTAGTGTATTTCAGGGATGGCAGTTCTGGAGCTAAATAAGTATACCGAAATTGTAATTCCGGTCATATTTTGTAATTTTTCGCATGACCATAAAAGTAATTAACGTTGCGAGAGCATAGCTGTGAAGAACGTCAAACGTTTGTGAAGAATGCATCTTCTGGGGATGTGACTGAATTGTCTACATGGTTAAAAAAGATGCTTCTTAAAGAGTTCTTTAGTACAGAAAATAATTCTATATAGAACCGTGAACATTCAAAGAACTCTTTCCATGATTAAAGGGTTCTTTGCACTGTGAAAGGGTTCTTCAGATTAATGTGCTGTAGATGGTTTTATTTATATATTTACATTTTTGAAAAAGGTTCTATACAGCTCCAAAAAGGGTTTTTCTATTGTTGTGATGTCAGGCTTTTTGGTGATATATAGAACCCTTTTCAAAAAGGTTCTATATAGAACCGTCTACAGCACATTCTTCATCATTTTGAAGAACTCTGTCATGATGCAAAGAACCCTTTAATTATGCAAAGGGTTCTTTGTGTGTTCATGGTTCTATATAGAATGATTTTCTTTACTAAAGAACCATCATTTTTAAGTGTTTACTATTGTCATCATATCTTCATCAATATAGTGTTGTTCTTTTTAAGCCTGTGCGTGTGACGTTAATACGTAAAGATGTGTGACGTAGCCTGAAAAACTCCTGTCAGATCCCTCTCAGCTCCTCGCAGTGGTGCACGCTCACCGTATTTAATGTATGCAGTGTGTGAAATGTTGAATGACAATCACTTTGCAAATGTTTTTTTGACAGCGGTTTTTTAAATTTGACTTTAACCAGTGCATTTTGTCTCTTTTGAAATATTGTGAAATGTGTCATGTTGTGATATATTTTTTTTCTATTTCATGTGTATTTAATACAGCCCTGCTGTGGCAAACGTGGCTAATTCGCCTCCTTTGAGCTTCCATTAAAGTGTTCCATCCCTCATACGTCCTCTGCAGGTATGACTCGAACTCTGGAGGTGAGCGTGAGATCCAGAGAACGATGCTGGAGCTCCTGAACCAGCTGGACGGCTTTGATTCGCGCGGAGATGTGAAGGTCATCATGGCCACCAACAGAATAGAGACGCTCGACCCTGCTCTAATCAGACCAGGCAAGAAACTAAAACAAGCTTTAATTTTCAGTTTTAGGCTCAGAGTGGGGGTCTCAAACTGCGTCATAGACATAACTCAGCTCACTTAACTCAATCAGCTAATTAGCACGAGCTGGATTTGTAGTGTTAGAAGAGGAAACCATATCGCCCCCTACACTTCCTGTAGTGTATTACAGTCTGTCAGAATGACTGTGTGGATCATATAGAGCACTGAATCCTCTATAATACTCTGTAATGTTTAAAAGTAAACGTTTTCCACAATCAGAGTTATCAATGATAAATTTGTCAACTGTGCATTGCAGCCCTAATCAGTCAACTGCTTGAATTACTGAATTTGAATAGACTTGCTGAACAACACTTGTCTGGACCCATTCAGAAAAAAAACAGTATTGTGTGCTGTTTAAACAGAAATTGTGAAGATTAACTTATAATTTGTTATAAAGTTTCAAAGATAGTTATGAGTCATCTGTCAGTGTCTCTTGCTTCTGTTTAGGTCCATTTTCAGGTAGATTTGTGAAAATAAACATTCCTAGCAACACAGTACAACATGAATGAATATCTTAACTGAGGGAATGTATTAAGTTGAGCTCTGATCCCCCCAACACCCCCTAGGTCGAATTGACCGTAAGATAGAGTTCCCCCTGCCGGACGAGAAAACCAAACGAAGAATCTTCCAGATCCACACCAGCAGGATGACGTTGGCTGACGATGTGACCCTGGATGACCTCATCCTGGCTAAAGACGATCTGTCTGGAGCTGATATCAAAGTACAAACTATTTTTTTTCCATGCATTTTCATTTTCATTTCCATTTTCATTCTTTTCATATACAGGACAAAAACACTTTTTTTCAAATGTAAAATTAACAATTTATTAACTACAACTAGGGCTGGGCGATAAAACGATAACGATAAGTATCGTGATATAACCTTTCCTCGATAGAGCGATAAGACAGGTTCGATATAATACACCATTCTCACACTTCCACGTTCAGCGAAAGCCTTCGTGGCGTTTTCTACTGCAAGGAAAGCGACACTACTCTGCTGTCGCCAGGAGAGGGCGCACTAGGGGGCCACGAGTAAAAAAAAAAGGGTCGCCAAATATACTTTAGCAACGGCTGAAACGCGGAGTTATACAGTCCCTGTCTGAGTGGATGTTATCGGCGATCTGTTCTCCTGTGACCGAGTGTGAGTGACGAGGTCAGTGGTGTAACTGTACTGTCCTACAGCGAACTCACCTCTTTCCGTGCATCCTAACAACTTCAGCGGTGTTAAATCACGTCTGCAGCGCCGTGTTACAGCGCCAAACCGTCATATGTTAAGTATTAGTGCATTCTCGAGCAACGAAAGTGAAAGAAAGAAGTGGGTTCATGTTCGAAAGTAAACTGAGGAAGCTGTGAGGCGTTGGAGAGCGGGAGAGCGCTGTCTCTCCAGGCTAGCTGTTTTTAGCTGCTGGCTAACTTGAAGCAGCGCTCCGGCAAAACACGGTGAATTGATGATACGGTAGATCAAACAAGACACAAAATGACCGCTTTCAGTTTAAACGTACCTAAAAGGAGGACTCTGTGACTGGTGTGAGAGATTCACACTGCAGATAATGCTTTTACACAGCGAGCGTCAGATATACTGCGGTTCACCCCTTAAACTCCCACGATAGCATAGAGAAACCCAGCCGTCTAGCTGGTGTCTGAATACTGTGATCTGCTCTGACATGGATGAGTGACAGCAGTGACCTCCCGAACCGAGCTGACGTTGTTGAGAAACTAAAGAGTTTAGCACTGTTGTTGGCCGCTTGTTTAGCATTTGTAGCGGGGTAGCCGAGCGCCCGTCACCAGACAGATAAAAATAATCTGTTTTCTTTCTTAAATCATGACTATTACAAAAATTGCAGCTGTGCATTTCAAGCTGATAAAAACAGCTCAGAAACTTTCTCCCACTGTCCCAAAACAGATTAGTGAAATGTTCCACTGTTTGCCGAGTGTTTGTCATGTTCGGACCATAAGTGATAGTTTAAAACCACAGTTAACCCCCCAGGAGCAAAATCAGCCTTCAAACGTGAAAGAAATCATGATTTGACATTTATCGCGGTATGTATCGATATCGAACGATATGAATTTTGTTTATCGTGATAACGTTTTTGGCCATATCGCCCAGCTCTAACTACAACACATCTCGTTTCAGTCTCCTCTTTCTGTCTCTTTGCTTTCTCTCACTACTCATTCTCTCCTCTCTCTCTCTCTCTCTCTCTCTCTCTCTCTCTCTCTCTCTCTCTCTCTGCTGTATCTTGATGTGTCTCTCTCTGCTGTGTTGTGTGTCACAGGCAATCTGTACAGAAGCTGGTCTGATGGCTCTGAGGGAGCGCAGGATGAAGGTCACTAATGAAGACTTTAAGAAGTCTAAAGAGAATGTGCTGTATAAGAAACAGGAGGGCACTCCGGAGGGGCTGTATCTCTGAGCCTGGGGGCGTGTGACAGTGAGGAGACGTTCATTCAGACTTTTCTTAGGGCTGGCCTGAATCCTTTGAATACTCAGAGATATTTGTTTGTTACGTTGGTATTTGATTCTGTAGTTGGTATTTGGAAGCTTCAGTTTTTTTCAGATATGATTGTAACTACAACACAGTTCTCCAGCAAAGGCCTTTAAAGAGCACAGTGATTACAATTATTATATTGAAAAATAGACATCATAGCTGGTGTAGTTTAGGCTTTCACATCACCTCACCCTCAGAGCAGCCACTGAAGCTGAAAGAGCAGAGGTGCACGTGTGGGGGCACCTTCATTTGTTGGATGGTAAGAAAAATGCTTAAATTTGCATTTCAGGTTGGTGTGGAGGCACGACAAGTTTGATAAATCATTAATATATATATTTTATTGCACTGCCAGGGTGGTCAGTTCCACACTGTGTGTTGACCTCAGTGCTGCTTTCCATGATAAAATTTGGTGAACTAGTCAAAAAAAGTGACTCAGTAAAATAAAAGCAACAAACCAAAACCAATGCAAATTAAAACCCTGATGGTGATAAACAATAACTTGAATTTGGTAAATTCTTAACATCTGCTGTTTTTGAAGAAGAGGGCTTCATTTGCGACCTCTGTAGCAACATACGGTCTGCGGTACTAATACATGGTTAAAATGGTAAATAAATAATAACATAAATATTATCGTTTTACAGCTGATCGTGAGAATGAGTTTTTGAGTACTCATTTTTGGAAATGCCAATGAGTATTTAAAGCCTGTAAAATGGTGTTTCGGCCAACACAAGTTTTCCTTTACGTATATATATATATATATATATATACACACACAGACACACAGTTGATTTTCTAAGTGAAAATTAGTTAAAACATTCTTAAATATAGTATTTTTCTGAAAATTATGGTAAACAATTTTTTATTTGCAGTGTTTAACATATTGGAAAATATAAAATGTGCTACAACTTTTGCACAGGCCACATTTTATGTTTAATTTGTTTTCTAATATGTCAAGTAAATAAACAGTACGTTTACTGTGTTCTCAGTAGAGGAAGATTTAATTTATTTTCACTTGGAAAGTTAATAAAACAGAATTTGACCAGGCGCCCACAATTTGTACGTATTTAGTGCATGTGACGTTTTCCCTCATTCACTCTGTTGTGTTTTCAGAAAATACATTAAATATTTGTTTTTTTGAAAAAAGAAGTGTGTTCTTTCCTTCTGAAAGCATTTATATAAGGATCCATGCATAGATAAATAAATGAGTTCTGTTAGCGGTGGATGATATGATGATACATTATTGTTATTGTGATAAATTGCACAACGATTGTTTGCTTATATGATGATCAGTACTTTTACAATACTGAATAACTGCATGAATCTTTAAGATTTGGACCAATTATAGAGTCTAAACAACAACCAGTGTGAAGTAACTATAAACTTCATAGTAACAAGTATCTGATTGGTTGGCAGCCCATTATGGTATTATCATGTTTCAGTCATTCATTTTTATCACAGGCCTAAAGCAGTGTTTCTCCTGGGGCCCTGAGAGACATCTGGCCCCCCAGCCTGCATTTTTTTTTCTTTTTTCGATGATTATGGTAAGAGCAAATGACTGTAATTTAGCTACAACTAACTCAGCTATTCTAATTTAGACCGATAGTCAAATCTATCCCCGGGATTCATTCAGGACATGTTGACTGTATACATGCACTCAATACTCTGATCATAATCACATTTCTGCAGTTATCTGATTATTCATGTAAACGGCACACTCCGATTTCTTAGATCGGAGTAAGGTCTATAAATCTGATTAAGAAATCCGATAAAGAGAGCTGGATTTTAACTCAGTAATCCAATTTATCAGGGCATGTAAACTCTTACTCTGATTTCTTTCGGAGTTCTCAGTCTGCGCATGTGCGAAAACTGACAGCGCTACCGGAAATAAGCAAGCAGCGTTGCCGCAAGACGGCAGCAAAACACTTTTGTAGCAACGCTGAAACCAAAGGACAGTGAGTGTAAAAACAAGGAGGTGTTCCTAATAAAGTTCTCAGTGAGTGCATATATAACCCATTTAATATGGATCTCACTAAATACATATAGTCATGTGCAAAGGTTCATGTATATAAATGTATGTATATACATGAACTTTGGCACATATATACATGTATGTGTGTGTGTGTGTGTGTGTGCATATATATATCATCAACAGTCACAGTTCTTTTATTGCATAAGCCTAAGTTTTATTAAAGCAGCAGGTCAGAAATGGCAAAAACGAGGAAAAATACAAACTGAGAGCAACACTAGAAGAAAGCAGCAGAAAAACGCGAGGTGCAGCTTTGGTGGAGTTAAGGGACGTGGGGAATTTTTCGTGGCAGCGCCGAGTTCCTTTATCCAGTTCGCAACTTCTTCATTAGTGTGCTTCTCACTGCCACCTCTTTAATTCAGTCTGTTTATTGCATCCCCTGATTCGGTAAATGATCCAAGGGCTTCCCTGCAGAATGCCTTCTTTTTTTTCAGCGCACATTTTCCTTTGCCGTTTCAGGGGTGCAGGGTTCTGTGGAGCTCATTTTGGTCCTCCTCATGTTCAGAAGCTCCACCTCTTCAGCAGCTTAAGAGGAGAACCATCCACAGAAGGGTGACCGCCACCCGGCCCTTCTGCTTCTTCTTCTTCCTCTGCAGTGCATTAACAGTCACAGCTCTTTTACTGCACAAGTCAGTCTTTTATTAAAACTTCAGCTGAGAAAATAATAAAGAGCAGGGATAACCACATAACTGAAAAAACAAACCCGAAAACACAACCAGAAGTACAGGAGTTGCAGCTTTGACAGAGTTGGGGGATGTGTGGTGGTCTCCTTCGTGGCAGTGCTGAGGTCCTCTATGCAGATTGCTACTTCTTCAGCCACTTTAGTGTGCTTCTCACTGCCAGTGGCGCACTTCTCCTCAGGAAGTGTGATGGTGCTGCTCTGAACATCTCGGAGGTGGGATGGTCCTGCTCTCGGTTCGTGCTGCTCAGGTGTTACGGTTTCTCTCTCGCTTTTGCCTTGTTCTTCGCAGCTGCCGAAGACCACAGGAACCCTGTTTAGCTTATCAATCACCTGCGAGAACAGGATGATGTGATCATGGGGGTCTTTATGGTGGGACGGTCCTGGTCTCGGCTCATGCAGATCTGGTGCAGAAGTGACTTTCTTACACTTTCCAGTGCTGCTCTGAGTTGTTGCTGCTTCAGGAACACCAGGCAGTCTCCATTCAGACGCACTCTTGTGGTTAGTGGTGGACGTCCGGCTGCGTGGAGGAGCTCCCTGTGTACTTGGTTCAGTGCCGTCATTCTGTCCACTGTCGTCCCCTCCTTTTTTATTCTGTCCGTTTATTCCGGCCTCCCGTTTGTTGAACAGACCGAGGGCTTTCCTGAAAAACGACTTTTTAGTTTTTTTCTGAGTCGGCGCGCGTGTTCTTTTGGGGTTCCCGGCATGCCTGGTCCTGCGCCGCTCATTCTGGTCCTCCTCATGTTCTGAAGCTCCACCTGTACAGCAGGTCAGGAGGAGAACCATCCGAAAAAGGCCCTTCTGCTTCTTCTCCTTCCTCTGCTGAGGCGGTGGGTCCATACCTAAGAATCTTTTTTTCTAGAAAATTAAGTGAACTACAACGAGTGTTCGCGAAGATCACGTGCACAGTTCAAGTGCTACACTTGAAATGAGAGAAAACGCGCCGGATTCGGGCTTTTATATGTGACACAGGGGTGTGTGGCGTCATAATGGGCGTGGCGACACGTCTTGATTTTGTTCGGTGATTACGTCACTACCCTCTGACTGAGGGACCTACACAGTGAATGAGCAGCCTGTAAAATTCAAACCCTTATAGTAAGTAATGAAGTAAATTAAGAGTAATTTTTTTTATCCTAATCTAACTTTTAATTTCTAATTAGACTTTTGCACAATCCTAATTTAATTTCTAATTTGATTTTTAATTCAATGATTTTCTCTTTTAAATTTGTTTGAATCATGTTTGCATTGCGTTTTTTTTTCTATTTTGTGTATTTTTTAAACAACTCTGTATTTTCTGACTCTGCATTTTCTCATTTGTAAAGCTCTTTGAAGGACATCTGAAATAAACTTGTATATAAATAAACTTGCCTAAATCAAAATGAAAACATGAGCTGTCTGAGAGAGGTGGGTGAAATGTATACAATTTCGTTTTAATTTTGTAGCTGTGACAGTTAAATATGCTGTTATTTGACAATAAATATGTTTCCCATTAGAGAAGCAACGCTGTGTGATATAATATCCATACGGTGTGATTTGAGAGTCTGGCTGTACCGAAAACCGATGAAACTTCACGGAAATTAAGTCGGTGTTAAACCCAAATTTTGACCAAATCTTCTTGCGTTAGTCACAAACACACCGCGGATACACGAGGCTTAAGATGACTTTCTGTTCGCTAAGTTTCTTATTTGAATTTTCCGTTCCACCTTAAATCGTCCTCCAGTTGGATTATGGCGCCCGTGCGGGTGTCCACAAACTGCTGCACCATTTAAGGTGGAACGGAAAATTCGAACGAGAAACTGGCGAAGAAGAAACTTAAGCTTCGTCGCGGTGACCGGAAGGGACTGGTTGAACTAATTCCCTCTGGAATACGATTTTTATCGGGAATTAAAATTAAAATTAAACTTTAAAAAACAACGGGGAAAACGTAAACAACAACAACAAGCCGTGAGCTGTTTACGTTACCATGGTTACAGTCACAGCGCGGCCTGTAATTAAAATATGATCTACACAATGAATATCACAGTTTAAGAATAACTTTGCCTATAATCGTATTTTAAAATACTGAAAAGTTTTTAAATACAGAAAAGTCACTCACCTTGTACTTTCCACTAACTGGCCACTTTATTAGAAACACCTACCTTGTGCTTCCACTTAGTGGCCACTTTATTAGAAACACCTACGTAGTAGTATTAAGTAGTAGCATCTCGACTCTTAGAGTCATTGGTCAAGGGTCGACCCCGACTCCCAGACGTGTTGGAGTTGAAGAGTCGATTCCTTTGGGATCGACTCCTCATCACTAGACTGAATAGATAAAAAAGGATTATGTTCCGAGTGCATTGCTCTATTAATGGGTAATCGATTCGAAAACAATCGATTCTTCGACTTCTACACGTCTGGGAGTCCTGGCCAATGACACCGAGGCCCCCTTTACTCCCTACATAGTGAATAGAGTTTTTTTTTTTCATTTTGACCTCCATACAAAAATGGTGCACTGTAGGGAATTGTGCTTGTGTGGTTGAATCCCAAATGGTCCTTTCTCATACACATTATGCACTGTTTTGGTGCCAGACTCATTAGTTTAAGATCTACCTAGTTCACTACATAGGGGGCATTTGAGATTCAGCCTGAGAGCCAAAATGCTTGGACTCGACTATTCCACTCATATTTGGCTCAACTGAGGTGAATGTGAATCAGGAGAGACTCTGAGTTTGAGTAGTTTGAGTTTGTTTTAACCAGTGCCAGTGCTGCTCGCCAGCCGGGGCAAACAGAAACTCTGCTCACAGAAACATTTTCTATACGTCCTGCATCACCCTACCTGTTTTTTCATGATTAGGGTTGCAATAAACAATGATTAGAAACAGTACAAAGAATGAAAAGGAAAACAATATTCTTCCCAGAAAGCTGTGGAAAAGAGGATGAAACTGAGGTCGGCTTCTTATTTAAATTTTCCATTCCGCCTTAAATGGAACTGCAGATACATTCTGGTGCCAGTGCACCATTAAGGTAACTGGTGCATCATTTAAGGTGGAATGGCAAAGTCAGTCGAAAAGGAAGCTGGCAATCATGAAAGCTGCTGCAGTCTGAATGCATCTTCACTGTTTTCCTTTTATTAAAGGGCCACTATCCTACGTTTTTCTTGTATTCTTTCTTGTTTTCCCCATTGAGGTCCACTTACAATGTTTGTGTGGCTTTATGTGACAGAAATGGCCATTAATTTTTACATTACTTTTTTCCAACCTGTGAATGGGCAGAGCTAAACTACAGCAGGCAGTTACAACATTTACTTTTTGCTTTTATATACTCCAGTATCTTTAAATATGAATTAAATATTGACTTTGCATCAAGAATATTTTTGAATTCATATGTCTGCTTTGAACCAAATGGGTTTTTAAAGGGGAACTCACCCGATTTTCAAAATTTGTGCATAATTAAATACTT